GGGCCGGGCGCCGCCTTCCACCTGCCTCGTTTTTACAATGGCCTCCAGCAGGGGGCAGCAGAGTCCACGGGGAAGGGAAGGTGCTCGTTCCCACGCCCGCTGAGCCACCCCCTGCGTGGTGGCCCTGGGGACCAGAAGGTGGTCTTCAACAGAACAAGATCCAGAAAAGCCCGTTGTACGGGAAGGGGTCTGACCAGGACCAAAACCCAGAATGGCCCTGCCTCCCCCGGGTGTGGAGGGAAAGTGGTCACTTTCCTTCTTCTGGGGCAGAAAGCGAAGCGGTGGGGAGGGAAGTGAGATGAGAGGAAAGACCTTGAGATCCAGAGCACAGGCCCGGCTGAGAGCTGAGGGGTGGGCTGGCCTCCCACGTCCCCGGCTTCCCCAGCACGCAGGAGGCCCTGGGCTCCATCCTCAGTACTGGGGGGCCGGCCGCGGGGAAGGAACCCTGAAGAAATGTCAAGCTGGGGGTGGTGGTGGACCCTGTCATCCCAGCGACCAGGGAGGCTGAGGCAGGAGGATTGTAAATTCAAGGGCAGCCTCCACGATTTAGCAATGCCCTCTCTCTCTCAAAAAAAAGGGGGAAGGCTGGAGTGTAGCCCAGTGGTAGAGCGCCCTGGGTTCAATCCCCAGAACTGGCCGGGGACGCAGAATTCAGCTGTGCTTTGGCTGCGTCAGGGGAGGGAAGTCTCTGGAAGCAGCAAATGAGGACGCTGTAGACAGGCCACGCTGTTGACGTGGCTCTCGGCTGGGGCTGGTTTCTGACCCCAGCCCTGGCCTAAGAGGACGAAGCACAGGAGGCCGGGCAGGTGAGAGGGCTCAGAAAACATCTGGCCCTGCGCACGGGGGTTTCTAGGCTGGAGCCGGCGGCCGTGAGCACCCCCGGGCCTGGTCCTGGCTCCGTCCTTACCAAGTGCGCATGTGCGGGACGCCTGCTACCCTACCTGTGAGCCGAGGTCCTGGCCCGTGCCGCCGCGTTGCGCACTCACGTGCCTCTCAGGACCGCTCAGCTCCGTCTCAAGTTGCCTGTGTGGGCTTTTTTTTCTTCTTCTTTCTTTTCCTTTTTTTTTTTTTCTCCTTTATTTGCTGGGAATGGAACCCAAGCACTTTGTGCAAGCCAGGCAGGCGCTCTGTCCCTGAGCTCCTCCCCAGCTGTGTATGTATTTTTAATTGTGGTTTTTTAACAAATGCATAAACGTACCGTCTTCACCACTTTAAGGTGTAAGGTAGCGAGAGGCGCATTCACACCGTGGTGCCGCCTCGCCACCGCCAGCCACCTCTGCCTCTGTTTTCCTCTTGCAACACTGAAACTCCTGCTGGGCGCCCTGGAGCCCACCTGTGATCCCAGGCTGAGGCAGGAGGATCGCAGGTTCAAGGCCAGCCTCAGCCACTTAGGGAGGCCCTGTCTCAAAAAATAAAAAGGGCTGGGGGTGTGGCTCAGTGGTAGAATGTCCCTGGGTTCTGTCCCCAGTACCCAAAACAAAACAAACAAAAAATAGACACGAAGCCTCAAAACTGCTCACAAACCCTCCTTGAATGAGCGCACCCCACCTCCCTGCCGACCAGCCTACTCTCTGTCTCTGTGGATCAGTCTGGGCTAGAAATGTCCTGTGAATGGGACCATAAAATGTGTCATTTTCCCTTTGGACAATGATCTCAAGGTCCATCCAAGCTGTAGCAGGTGCCAGAATCCCCCTCCTTTTTAAGGCTGAATAATATTCTGTCATGTGGGTAGATCCCATTTTTTAATCCACTCATTCGTCCGAGGCCCTCAGGTCGCTCCCATCTCCTGGCTAGTGTGGCTCATTCCGCTGGGAACACAGATGTGTATTGTCACCAGTTTTGCGAGGGCTTTTGGACGGGCTGGGCACCTCCTGAGCTGCTGGCCACAAGGCCCTGTGATGACGTTCTCTGCCAGGGGGAACGGCCCGGGCAGCGGGGGCTCTTTTTCCTTCCCGTTCACATTATTCTCTCAGTTGTTCGAAAAACACCTTTCGAGTCCCTGCTCACACCAGGCACCCTTCCAAAGTGTCTGTCCTCAAGGAGCGTGACTTTGGGACGTGGGACAGATGGCAGATGAAGAAATCAAGCACATACCTGGAAGGGGCTGGGGGCAGGTGCAGAGAGCGGGGCAGGTGGTGTGGCCGTCCTGGTTAGACCGCGGTCAGGGTGAGCGTGAAGCAGAGCCTGCCGGGTCCTCCAGGCCAAGGTGAGAGCCCAGCGAGGTTCTGAGGGACGCAGAACTGGCCAAGCGGATAACAGGGCGAGAGTGCCCAGGCCACAGAGCAGCTCTGCAAAGGCCCTGAGGCAGCAGCACCCCGTGTTTGCAGATGCTGTGTCACTGCCGGGTGCTAGGGGCTCCGGTGGCCCGGGACCCACTGGGACCACACCTCTAATTCCCCGCCCAGGGCCCCACGTGGACCAGCTCTTCCGCCTGGCTTCCTCTGTCCGGCTCCATGCCTGGCCATCCTGTCACTGCACTGTGGCGGCGGCACACACAGATGTGCAGCCTTTGGGTGGCCCAGTCCACACAGGGAGAGGGACAGCAGGGAGAAGTGAGGGTCTGTCTCCACGTCCACCTGAGGACGTTGGGCACAGCCTTTTTGCTCCCCCGTGTCCCCACCCCCACCCTAGCACAGGGCACTGTGTTCAGCCCTGATGGGGACCTGGCAGGACCGGGCTCCCTGCATAGAGGGACGCACCTGTCACGGTCCCCGCAAGACACTCACAGACCAGAGGGGACAGGCACATCACTGGCCGACAGGCGACTTTCCCAGTATGGGGGATCACCTGCTCCAAGTCCTCAGGGACGTCTAACCGGGATGATTCTAGGGCCCCTGTCACCGTCTGGTCAGATGAGGCTCCGCCTGCCTCCCGAGGGGTGGCCTGGCCCTGTGTCCTGCTCGGGGCCTTGTTGGTCTTAAACATTCAGGATCCCTGTGGCAAAGGCCTGAAGGACAAAGCCGTGCTCCATAAGCCTGGGTCCTCCAGCAGGTGCCCAAGACTGGGAAGAGAGGGACAGAAGAGCTGGTGGGTCCCAGCCTGCCCAGAGCTTCACCCGGGGGTCTGCGAGCACCCACAGCCCCCCGGGCAGCCTGCTGGCCATGCCACCCGTCCCACAGCCCCCCCCTCACCCCTCCACAGCCAACCAAGTTCATGGTGGGCACGGAGCAGGGCATTGTCGTCTCCTGCAACCGCAAGGCCAAGACCTCGGCCGAGAAGATTGTGTGCACCTTCTCGGGCCACCACGGCCCCATCTACGCCCTGCAGAGGAACCCCTTCTACCCCAAGAACTTCCTGACCGTAGGGGACTGGACAGCCCGCATCTGGTCGGAGGACAGCCGGGAGTCGTCCATCATGTGGACCAAGTAAGCCCCCAGCAGGCTGGGGCAGGGGCCAGCGCAGAGGAGGGCAGGGGACAGACAGAGGAAGCTCAGCTCAGAGCCTCTGTGGCCGTCGGTAAAGTTCAGCAAATAAAACTGGAGGATTCCCGGGAGGCTGAGGCAGGAGGCCACGCGTTCAGGGCTGGACTCGGCAACTGGCGAGACCCTGTCCCAAAATAAAAAAATTAAAAGGACGGGGGGCTGTATCCGTGGTAGAGCGCCCCTGGTTCAATCCCTATCCCACACACAGGAGGTTCAGGATCCCTAGGTGAAGTTGAATTCCAGGGAAAAAAGCAACGACTAACGTTTTCAGTCCTAATATCTGGGATGTGTTTATACTGAAAAACTATGCATTTGTCCAACACGTCCAGAGGCCCTTTTGTCTAGACCATTTCCCCCACGGTGGCTTCCCCGGCCACCCACTTAGTTGCAAAGGAGGCTGGGAAATGTAGTTCCCGGTGTGGCCACAGTGGGCCCAGCTGCAAAGGTACCACCACGGAGGGAGGGAGAGGAGTTGATGGAAAATTCCAAGTCTCTGCCATGAGCGTGTGTGTGCATGTGTGTGCGTGTGTGTGTGTGTGTGTGTGTGTGTGTGTGTGATTTTTAAAAAGGTTCCATGTTCACTGAACAAACTTTAGAAAATCCAGTAGGAAGCAGAACTCTGGTTTGCTGTGGAGAGACACCAGTGCCCAGCCCACGGGAAGGACTATGCCTGGAGCCCTGTAAAGAGCAGTCTCTGTGCCGGGGGTGGGTGGGACAGGCATGGCTACAAGTCAGACACAAGAAAGAACTTCCTGCCCAGCAAGACTCTAAGACCCTGGAGCATCTGGGAGGGCAGAGCTGTGGCTCAGTGGGCGCTCTGCCCCTTCCCACCACGGTCCCTGACACTCGGCGCTGGCTCCCCAGGTACCACATGGCTTACCTCACTGACGGCGCCTGGAGCCCCGTGAGGCCGGCAGTGTTCTTCACCACCAAGATGGACGGAACCCTGGACATCTGGGACTTTGTGTTCAAGCAGTGTGACCCGGCCCTGAGCCTGAAGGCAGGTGTTCTCCGTCCCTGTGCGGACAGGCCCCATGAGCGGGGCCCTTCTGGGTGGGAGTGGGTGTGGGGGGGGCAGCGTGCTGAGTGGGGTGGGGTGTGTGGTGGGGCCTCTGGGTGAGTCCCACTCTGGCCGACTCCTGCCTTGGGGGCATGTGCTCCTGCCCAGGGACATTGAACCTGGTGGCATGGCAGAGTCACCCAGGGGAAATTAAAACAGACAAGAGAGCAGATGCTGGGCCTCCCCTCCCCCAGGAGGACCCCTCAGACCCTGGACACGGCTCCTGGCAGCAGCCACTTCAGGCCCGAGCTCCTGTAGCAAGGCTGAAGCTGAGACCTGCTGGCCGGGCCGGAGGGCCACAGTGTCCCAGGGGCGAGTGGGGCTGGGCTGGCGGGTGAGGAAGCTGGCGGCCAGGGGTCT